GGCGAGGAAAGTGCACAGTTGCACATACATGGAAGAAACTTCTAGCCTCCCCGGTGCTAGAAGCACAAATGTGCTTTTCCCGGGGCTCACGCTGGGGTCCCTCCGTAGTAAACCCTCTCTCCTCCCTGTGAAAGCTCCAAACTGCAGAGAGGGGCGCCGACCTGCCTGGTTGAACAGCCAGGGGCAGGGTTCCGCCCCTGCCTGGTCACTTGCCTGGCCAGTCCCTCCAGCCTCCGGCCTCAGTTTCCAAGTCGCAGAGAAGCTGGGTGCTTTGTGCCCTTCCTGCAGCCCATCCTGAGGTCCAGCCCCAGTCTCATTCCTGCACTGGTGCTGGAGGGAGAAAGCCCAGGAGGAGGTGGGCAGGTTCAGAGGGGTGGGTTTCCCGGTGGGTCACAGGGGAGAGGGGGAATCTGGCCGCAGACAGGGGTGATGGGGAGCCTGGAGTGGGCACGGTGCACTGGGGCCGCCGGAGAATCTGCACAGTGGGGAGAGGGCAGGCTCCGGACGGTATACAGGGCCAGGGCACTGGATGAGGTCACCGAGGAGGGGCCACCAGACCATTCTGAGACTGCGCGGCCCAGTGCACTGGGGGAGCCCCCAAACCCAAGGCCTTCTGCTCCCAATACTCATGCCCACACAGGGCAGGTGCGGGGGCTTGTTTCTATAACACAGGACACATCTAGGGACATTCTGTCCAGGACACAGGGGCTGGATGGCGTGAGCAGGCACAGGGCCAGTCCAGGCAGAGCGGGAGGGAAGGCAGAGGGCGCAGCCCCCCTCCCGCAGCCTCCTTGGTCCTCCCTGAGGACCCCCACCACACTCCAGCTGTACTCCCCATAGCTGGGCTTTCACAGGAGAGGGGGTGGGAGCTTGGGGCGCTGCCCTCCTTCCTCCCCCGGGGACCTGACAGAGCGGAGATGAGCCTGAAGGGCAGGCGGGCCTGGCGAGTGTAATAAAGGTCGGCAAACAAGCTCGGCGCTCCTGCCTGCCTCGTCGACCTGGCTCCGGATGGAGCTGCGGCGCGCTAGGAGAAGGTCAAGGAGATTTGTTCTGTGAGCTTCCAGAAACACTGTAACCACAGGTTTGCTCTGGGCAGGTCGGCCTCAGAGGTCGGGAGACAGGCCTTGGTGGGTGACCCCTCTTGTGCCTCAGGCTCTGGGTCCGGGTGAAGACGGACACAGTGGCCCCGAACCGGGCCAGCCTCCTGCCCATCGCTCCCTCCCTGGGTCTCAGGTCCCCGAGGGGCTCCCGGCACTGGGCAGGGAGGGTCCAGGCTCACCACAAGCCCCCCAAAACCACTGACTCAGGGTTGGGCTGGTCCCACAGGCCGGTCGGGCCAGCCTGTGACCACCCCGCCCGCTGCCCGGGCTCCCCAAGGCCCCTCCTCCTGTTGGCTGCTTCGTGGATGTTCCCGGGCCCTGCTTCCTGTCACGCACACACGAGCCCACGCACATACGCAAGCACTCGCACACGCATGCACATACATGAGCACACACGTGCACATGCAGGCGCACAGGGGCAGGAGAAGTGGCAATAACCCCTCGGCCAGGAGGACGGGGCCTGCAGACTCTCTGGACGGGGAGCTCTCCTGGCAGGAGCTCAGAGCAGACCTTATTTGGGGATTGTGTCTGACCTCCAACCTCACTCACCCAGGGTGAAGAATCCCAGGCGGGAAGCTGGAGGGGCCGCGTGAGCCACCTCAGCCTGGGTCTGGCTCCGCGGGCGGCCTTCTGTCCAGTGAGCGCTGCCACCTAGTGGCGTTCTGGACGCAGCCGCTCCGGGCCCAGGAAGGGCAAGAGGTGGCGTCCAGGGGGCCGTGTCCAGGGGACTGCATCCTGGGGGCTGTGGTGTGGGCAGGGGGCCGAGGCAGGGGGCCGTGTCCAGAGGGTTGCGTCCAGAGGGCTGTGTCCAGGGGGCCGCATCCTGGGGGCTGTGGGCAGGGGGCCGAGGCGGGGGGCCGTGTCCAGAGGGTTGCGTCCAGGGGGCCGTGTCCAGGGGGCTCTGTCCAGGGGGCTGCGGGCAGGGGGCTGTGTCCAGGGGGCCACATCCTGGAAGTTGTGAGCAGGGGGCTGAGTCTGGGGGCCGTGTCCAGGGGGCTGTATCCAGGGGGCTCTGTCCAGGGGGCTGTGGCCTGGCACACAGGGGAGTCGAGCTTCCCTCGCGCCCACGCCTACCCACTGTGTCCATCTGCACAGTGCCCTGTCCCTCTGCAGACCACAGCCCCGCTGACCGTGTTCCAGGCATCGTACACACCCTCAGGTGCCCCCACGACACCTTCGGACACTCAGAGACGCCTGCAATGTGCCCCCACGTGGTGGGAACCCCAGTGGAGAGTGAGGTCAACAGAAGCAGGGACAGCGCGTTTGTGGGGCAAAAACATCCTCGAAACCTCACCAGCCACTTGGGAATGCTGGCGTCACCCCAAAACCGTGTTCCATCCCCATGATCTTGTCCAGGGCAGGAGTCAGGGAGAGCACGGGGGCAGAACGGGGCCAGCTGCGTGTGAGCAGCTGACCACTGGCACCCCTCAGTCAGCACCCCAGGAGGGACTGCTCTGCCCCCCAGGAGTCTGCAGCGGCCCTCCACCCCTGCCCCCACCCTCTGTCCCACAAGCATCCCCCTCCCTGTGTGCACCCCACAGCCCCGGAAGCCAGTCGGGAAGCCCACTGCCCTCATCCCTTCCGCTCGCCTCCCAGGCTGCCCAGATCCGGCCCATCCACCTGCAGCCTTTCCCCCCTCCCCCACGGGGTGGGGGTAGTCCCCAGGCCAGGCCATGGTGGCCCATGGGCCCAGGAGACAGCAGGATGCAACTCTGCACCTTGCCTACCTGGACAGTGGCAAGGAGCACGCAGACCTTCTCAGAAACCAGGGCACCCACTGCAGGGACCCCAGAGGGCAGCTCAGCCAGGGGCGGGTTCCACTGCAACTCTGGCCACTTTCCCAGGTGGGCTCTGGGGCCACATACTGTCCCCTACTTACCTCTAGCCAGGGCGCCCCAAGCTCTCCCACTGTGGTTTCCTCCCCTGAGCAACGTGGTGATGGTAATGCCACCTCATGGGGGTGTGTGTGTGGCCTAATACACAGGGCGTGTGGCCGCGTGGGAAGGAAGCGGTGGGGACCATGGGGTCACACTCTGCCCCGCGCTTCCCCATGCTGCTCATCCTGTAGTTCGGCAGCCGTGTCCAGCTGGGCCTGGGGAAGTTGCTGGGCACAGGCTGCTGGACGGCGCCTCACAGAACCCTGGTGTAGCTGGGAACGTGTCATGAAGACTACATTTTCTCATCTTCCATACAGATCATGACTGGGTTTTAGCCGACGGAAGGAGAAAGAAGCCTCGCGTGTGCGCGCACGCGCGCGTATGTATGTGTGTATATGTGAGTGTGACTTCAGAGACTGGTCTCTAAAGGGACAGGGTGCCCTTCCCACACCCCCCACCCCATTTTGCTAGCTGGAATGAAGATGTAATGGCTGGACTCTAGCAGCCACTTTCATCCATGAGATGACCCTGAGGAGAAAGTCTTGTAGAACAGAGAAACAAATCAGGAGGGTCCTGGGTCCCTAACCCCATAGGTCCATCTGCCACACTAGTCCAGATAGCTTCCCTCTGGACGTGTAGGCCATCAGAGACAAATATGAGTCTATTCTGTTGAACCCATGGTTATTTAGGGCTTCTCTGTTAATCACAGCCAAGACTAAACCTAATCCTAGGTGACAATTCTAGAGAACCGGAGACAAATTTCTCGGCACGGAGAAATAAGGCAACCACTCCAGGACCACGGAATGCAAGCAGATGATGACCTTCTCTTGTGGCCATGGAGGGGGATAGAGGTGGGTTACTGCCTCTCTGTACAGCCTCGTCCACATAGTGCAGAGGGGCAGTGCCAGGCCCCCCTTGAGCACCCCTGGGCCGGGGTTACTCACCAGCACCCCCAGAGCTGCAGAGAAATCTGGGCAGGGTGGATTGTGCTGGTCCAGGCGCCCCGGGGCCATGCAGTGCAGGCTTCGGGCTTCCTGGGACGGCTCCGGGGCCCATGGCCTCTTGGCACCAACACAGCCGGGCAAGGGACACGGCAGGAGCTGGGTCAGTGCTGAGGGGCATAGAGATGACCTCAGCAGCCAACCCCAGGCCTGCAGATAGGAGCCCGGCTGTACCTCGAGCCTGGGGCAGTTCTCCCCAAAACCCAGGCAGCCCAGCCCAGAACTTTCTGGAAGTGTTGCAGCACGAAAGCCTCTAGTTGGTGGCCAGGCCTGCCAGAGGGCCAAGGGGACCGCGAGCCTTGAGCCCCACCGAGGTCAGCAAGTCTGGGCACCCACCCAGGACAGGGTGCGGCGTCTCAGGCCCCTGCTTACTGCTCTTGCTGCTCAGCTGACCCCCAGGGATGGTCCAGCAGGGTAGAAAATTCCAGAAGGCAGGGGGCAGCATGGCTGGAAACATTCACAGCATCTCTGACCTGACTGCAGCTGGGCCCTCACCCAGGCCACTACAGGGCGGGAGATAGGACGGCCGTGTCCACCCCAACCTCCAGCACCTCAGCCGGCTGGGCCTGTGCAGCGGCTGGGGTGGGGGGATGAGGTGTGGTGGGCGGACAGCGCCAAGGACAGCAGGGCCCCAAGCCGAGCGCCAGCAGCACGGTCTGCGTCTGCACAGGACCTACGTGCGCGGAGCTGACGCCCAGGAACTGGGCCCGAGCACCGGACCAGAGGGCTCGCCAGCCTGGCCAGTGGCTCTCTTCCCCGGATGCCGGGTACTCCTGAGGGCAGAGGGAAGCGCCCCGGCAGGAGCCCCAGCAGACTCAGGCCAGAGCCCGGGGTGAGCGAGCATGAGTTTCTACTGTTGGAGCCACCGGTGTGTGGTCCTTCATTCTGGCAGCAAAGGACACTGACAGAGCCCCAGGCCTTGACCCTGGACAGTACACGTCCCTGGCCCGGGCGCGCACTCCCCGAGACAGGGCCCCAGGCCCCGGGGACGGCGTGCAAGACGAAAGAGGCCACACATCGTGCAGGTTGAATCACTGTGTTTTACTAAGTGCACAGGTCCACTGGGCTTCCAAACAGGTCCCCGTGGCAGTAGAAATTTCCGGAACTTTTCACATGCGTCCCTGCTGCCAGATTCCACCCCTGAAGTCGCTGGGCAAACCCGGGCTGGGCCCTGTTCTTGGGGACAAGTGTGAACCGGACAGTGAGTTGAACAAGTTATCATCTCGGCTGGTCCGTACAAAACTAGAGTTCATTCCCTGGGCGTCTATCCCTAGAAAACGGACAATGCGCGAGTCGAGGGTCAAGTGTGCGGTGGTAACACATTCACGAAAACAGAAAGGCCCGGCGGCTATGGTGCAGGACGCATACACGTGGTTGGAAGTGTACGTCAGTACGGAAGGCATCATGAAGAATTCTTTGGAGCATGAACAAAGTGCAGACGACCAAGGCAACAGCGCAGACGGGGTCCGCGGGGCGGCGAACGGCAAGGGTGGGCGCAGGACGGGGTGAGAAGGGTCCCGGCGGACGCGCCGCCTGGAGCCCCGCCTAGAGCCCCGGCGGGCGCAAGGCCAGTTCCAGGTCCGCTGCCTGCTCTGCATCCGTCCATGGCGCTGGTCCCGCGGACCAGGAGGAGGCAGGGTCCGGTGCAGGGCCGGGAGACGCCGGGGGCCTGGGGCGACCTCGGTGAATTTCCGTCAACGTGCATTAAGGCAAGACATTATGAAACCCGGCCAGAGTTGGGCGTGTGGTGTGGGGGGCCCGGGGTTGAGGCCACCCCCCTCAGGGCCCCCTCCCCCTGCACCCGACCTGGGTGATCCCCAGGGTCTCCCTGGCGTCCTCTGCCAGCCAGGGACACGCACACATCTGTCCAAAAGCCCACCCAGCTCCTCCAACACCCCGGATACCTCTGAGCGGTTGACGGAGGGTCTCACCTGCCAGGGAGCATGTCTTCCTCGCTCTCTCTACCCTGTTTGCTAAAGCCGCTCTCCCTCCAACATCTCCTCCTGGGGTCTGCTGTCAGCCCCGACCCCCCACAAGATGGCATATCCAGAGAACCATGGCCCCCACTCGCACACGCTCCAGGGGCTACCCAGTGTCCTGGCCTGGGCAGCTGGCTTTCCCGGGTCTCTTGGATAGAAGAGAGGAGCAAGCCCCCGGTCCCAACCACACCGCCTCCTTCAGGAAGCTCTCCCTGGTTGTCCCTCCTACTTAGTGCTTGGCAGGGGCCCAGCGGAGCCTGGGACGGCACACAGCCTCCCCTGGGTGCTAGAAGCAGGCAGCCCATTACTTCTGGGCCCCACCCAGCCCTCCTGCCCCTCACCCAGGATCGGTCCATCCAAGCAGGTGGCCTGAAGATCCACTCCGGGGTCACAGAAGGCAGCTGAGGACCACTCAGGACGGCATCGGTCAGGGAAGGGCACGTCTGATTCTGAGCCAGTGAGCACTGGGGGGGCACCAGGGGCACGGAGCCCCACTGGCTGCTCGGGACTCAGCCACCCTGCTGGGTTGCCCCCAAACCCTCCATGGGCTGTCAGACCGTCCCTCTGCACACCATGTTTATTTCAAGGGCTCGTGACATCAGAGGGTGGGACGCTGTGTTGTCACTCTGGTCTTGCAGCGTGACATCAGGGACGAGCACCCTCCGCTCTGTACATTATTTACAATTCAGGGAATATGAAATAGATACAAACATCAGCATTTCTACAGAGGCCTCCCAGGGGCCGTCCACACCTCTGGGCTTCAAGAAGCATCTAGAAACGTCTCAGGGCCGATTCCATCCAGAAACAGCATAGGTGGGGGGCACCTGCTGTACGGAGTACCCCCCAAATGTGGGGGCCGGCAGAAGAGAGGATGCCGCCCCCTTCTCTCCTGTGTTAATGTGTTGAATCCGTGACCACCAGGGGACTCCAGCCTAGTACGAGGGGAAAAGGTTGGTTAAACTAAACCACCATGTTAAAGACACCGACCCTGCCTGGCTGGCACGTGCGCTCTGGGCTGGGGAACTAGGGCTGGCCACGAGGCGCGTCCCGACGCCTCCTGCTAGGCTTCTACAGAGCAGCCCCTGCAGCGTGGGGTCCCGGAGCCTCCAAACAGGGGCTTGAGGCCAGTGCTCACAGAGGAGGGGACAACTGGCCTCCCATAGGGAGGGGAAGGGTGGGCAGGCCAGGGGGAGCTTCTGCCACGTGGCCAGGGCCCCTCTGTCCTCCAGGGAACCTAGTGAGGCCACGGCTCATGAGTTTACGTGGACAAGGGGGCCACAACATGCCAGGGAGGGAGGGGACAACACCCACATGGCCAAGAAGGGCAGAGGGAGCTGGCCAGGGCCCCAGGGTCACAACTGGACACCCGGACCTCCCTGGTCCAAGCCATGTCATGGCATCCAGCTGACCAGAGGCTCTGGACAGCTGCTGGGCCAGCAGAACCCCAGCCAAGGGCCACCTGTCACTCAAAGTTGCTCATTCCTTGGGGCTTAAAGTGGGTAGACCCAGACAGAGATCAGACGAAGGGCCACCGACATCAGGAACGCAGTGTGTGTGCACACATGAGGGCAAGTGTGTGCGCGCGCACACGTGTGAGCTGAATGTGAGCACAGGAGTGTGGGCTTGTGGGGGGGGCAGACCCCAGCCCAACCCTGGTCTTAGGAAATCTTTGCTGCGCCTGCCAAGGGGTGACAACTGCCCCGAGCCACACTCGCAACACACACACGCCCCACACACGTTCCGTGGAAGCGTCCTCCTGCTGTTCTTCTCCGAAAGCGGGGCCCCAGGGCAGGGACGCACACTGCTCAGGCCTGGGTCTGCGCATCCCAAGAAGGTGTCTCTACAACTCCATCCCCCCAAACTGTGGCCCTAGACCAGCCTCCCTTCCAAGGGGTCAGAGACTCCACGCAGGAGACCTCACACCCTCTCGTGGATGCAGGACCTGCCGGCGGGCTAGCCTGTCCCCCCGGCTGCAGCCTGGGAGACCCCTCCTGCCCATCCGAGGCCAGCTCCTCAGCCTCCAGGGGCGCACGGCACAGGGAGTGTGTGGGACAGCAGTCTTTCTGTGGGGACAAAGGGCCCCTCTTCCCAGGGCCTGAAGCCCCCGACAGGGGAGGGGTCCCTGTTGCTGGCACCACGGCTCTAACTCTTCCAGGGCCTCGAGCAAGGCTGGCCAGAGCTGGGGACGGATGTGGCCATGCTACCCCGTGACTCATGCCCTGCCCGGGGGCCTGCAGCCAGAGTCCCCCATGGTGGGAGGGTGAAGGGGGCTGAGCCCAGAGGGAGGCAGTGATGGGAGGTCCACGACACACAGGCCACACTAGGGACCCACGTTATCTGCACAGGCAGGGACTTTTCTCATCACTGTGAGGCCCAAGGCCAGAGAAACACTGCCCTTAGGAACGAGGTTCATCAGTGTGAGGAAAAGCCAGTGTGCCCTCCCTTCCAGGCCACGGGGCCACTTACTTCCACACCTGCCCTTCCTGGAGGCTAGGAAGGGGGACATCCTCGTGCTGGGGCCCTGACATGAGCAGCGGTTCCCAACTCTGAGCCTGCAGCCTCCCACTCCGGGCAAGCACAGGCCGGCCCAGCCTCTGGCTGCCCATCATGCAAGGAGGTGCCCACGGCAGGACCCGGGGTGTCCTGGCAAGGGGAGGGGGCAGGCATCACTCCCCAAGGCCCTCTAAGCACCAGGACCCCAAGCCCGGAGCCCAGGACCCTCAGATACAGCCCTCCACGCCCTTCCCAGAGGACAGGACCGATTCTCCCACTGACCACTTCTGGCCCAAGTCACAACAGGGCTGTCCCAGGAGCTAGTTTTCTGGGGAAGTCATTCCGTAACGGGCCTCGCTGCACCCAGCTCTAGTGCACCAGAGGTCACTGCCTCAGAGACAGCATCAGGCACCCAGACTTACGGTTCCCAATGCCAGATGCCCCCACACACCGACTGCTGAGGGCCCAGAAGACAGATCCCAAAGCTGCTGTCCCTGGGGTTGAGGTGCCTATACCACAGGAGAGATGGGGGCCCTGCTCCCTGAGGCCCAGGGTGGAGATGGGCATCCTTGACTCCTAAGAAGTCACAGCCAAGGGACTGGTCAGTGGAGAGCAGGGCGGCGGACGGTCAGCCTTAGTGGGGACACAGAGGTTTCCTTCCTACAGGATAGAGCTGTGTCAGCTCCGCAGAGGGAGGGAACCTCACCAACCCTTGAGGGGCTTTGAAGGCTTTTCCCAGGAGTTAGAGCATCATCATCTAGCCCTGGGTCCTGCCGAGGCACCAATGAGGGACCAGTAGGCAGGGCCCCCAGTGAAAGACAACATGCGAACCTGGTCACCACAACCCACCTGGCTCTGGGACCCGGAAACGGGATCCCAGCCCAGGGGATGCCCCCAGCCACCCAGCACGCTCCCTGCACACGGGTCTCCATTTCAGTGCTGGCCGTGGCCTGGTGGCTGGTGCCAAGCCTGAGCAGAACAGCTAGAACACGGGGGTGCCCATCCCCAGATCTCCTGTGGCTGGGGGAGCCTCCAAGGACCCTCCTCCAGAAGACTGTGAAGCAGCCCCTCCCCCCAGGAGCCAATGCTGGTAGGTCCTGAGGCCCCACCGTCTTCTCTCCAGGCCAGCATCCTGGACTTGGGACTGGCTCAGAACCTGGGGTTGGGGGAAGATGGCGCTGACCAGCAGCTCTCTGGAAGGTCACCCATCGTGCCTGCCTGCCCTGTGTGGACTAGCGGGGGCAGGGACGGAGGGACACGCCCTGGGCAAGCCACGCCCCAGGGGCCAGCGTACCTCCTGCTGCCGTAGCCACAGGCCCAGACTCCCTCCCCACCAGGCCTCAAGGCCACCCATCCTGCCCCTAGGTGCCACCCTCACCCGGGCCCTGCTCCTTGACCCCACGCCTCCCCCCTACCGGCAGGGGTCTGTCCTCAGCCATCACCCCCGCTCACACCGGGCCAACGGTCTCAGTGGGCACAGCCGGCCTGGCTGCCCCTTGTTAAAAAAGATCTTTTGTCAGCCTGCAGTGCGTGAGACCAAGGAGCCCCCCGCCAGCCCGTCGCCTCGCACAAGCCCCCCCACCTGTGTCGCTCTAAGGACAGGGTCCCGGAGAGTCCCATCTGCAAACCTGGAAGAGGCCAAGAGTCAGGGAGAGGCCGGCGGGCAGCCTCATTTCCGGGGCCCGGCCCAGCCCACGTCGCCAAAAGGGCCCTCCCCAGTGGCAGAGCGCGGCGGGGGCCCGCACGGGGTGCAGAGGTCCGAGTCCGTGTCCGACTCGCCCTCCGCGATGTAGGGTCTGACTTTGGCGCAGGGTGCCACGGCCGCGTAGCAGCTGTTGAGCGCGTCCAGGTTCTCCTTGGACTGGGAGATGCTGAAGCCGCTGAAGGAACGCTCCAGCTCCTCGTGGTCCACAGACGGGATGGAGATGGACGTGTCACTGTCCCGCAGGGCGCCCTCGTGCCTCGGGAACTCCGTGCTGGCCCTATTGCCCCCGCTGTAGGCCGACAGCGACCGCTCGTGGGCGGGCGGGGGCGGGATCCTCACCAGCGAGCCGTGGTCCCCCACGGGGGAGGTGCCGTGGCCCTGGCGTGCGTGGCATTGCTGTTGCCATGAGGTGGAGGGTGGGCACTGGGCTGGGGGCCCGGCCGGAGGCGCCGAGAAGTTCTTCTGGCCCCCGGAACTGGCAGAGCGGATGAGCTTGATGATGCAGCCGTTCCTGTCTCCATGCTCCCGGCTGTCCTCGGGGCTGTGGTATGGCGGCGCTGGTTCTGGCTCCTTGGCCCCAAAGTAGGCCTCCGTCTCCGTCGGGGGGATGCCCATGCGCTGCATATAGATGTTCACCAGGAAATCCAGCTTCTTCTCCATGGACAAGACCTGCAAGGGGAGCTGCTGGACCAGGCCTGGCGCTCTCCAGAGGTGGGGACCCCGGGCTGCTCGTCGGGGGGGCCCGGGCTGCTCCCGGTAGGTGGGGGGACCCTGGGCTGTTCCCCAGAGGAGCAAGGACTCCAGGTTGCCCCCCCCCCAGAGGTATGGAAGCAGTGGGAAGCAAACGCAGCAGGAGCTCAGCCTCTGACCCCACCCATCAGAGTGTGTGGCCCCTTCGGGTAAACCCCACAGCTCCTTTCCTTGCCTCCCAGAAGCAGACCCCGAGTGCAGGGACTTGTGCATGGCCCCTGAGGGCCGGCTCCCAGGAGAGGGCTGTGGCCCACCCTGGAGCTCCAGGACCTGCCTGCAGGGTCCGTCTCGGCCCCTCCTACCTGCTTCTCCACCTTCCCCAGCCGGCCCATCATGCTGGGGTCCTCGGGCAGCTCTGCCTCAGCCGGGCCCTTGGTGCGGTCCTTGTCGGTGATCGCTGGGCCCCGCCCCACGATCTGGTCCACTCTGCCGGGAAGAGACCCCACCCCCCAGAATGAGCTCGGGTGGGCGCGGCGGGGCCCGTGGCCCTCTCCTCCTGGGCCAGGCCACGGCCCCCCAGATCCAGGCTCCAGGCTGAGCCCAGAGCCGACTGGGGGGGCAGCAGGGTGCCAGGACAGGTGGACGTGGGGCACCTGGTCTCGCCCTGCTCTCTGAACCTGAGGGGCTCCTGTTCCGTTCCAGCAGGCTGGCACATTAGCAAGGAGTAAAGTGGAGGGATTGGGACCACGCGCCCCTCAGCTCCCCTCCCCCGTGCCCTGCCCCCACCTCTGAGCTTTACTCCTACACAATGTGCCACGTGGTCCTCAGCCCAACGGGGGTCTGGGGAGGGCAGAGTGCCACGTGTGTGGCAGGAACAGAAGCAGATGACCAGAGCCACACCTCCATGCACACCGGATGGGGGAGGGGCACGGACCAACACAGGAAACCGCCAACGCACCACGGAGGGGGCAGACAGAGCCACTGCCAACCAGGGGGAGTCTGTGTGTGCTTGCTGCACGTGTGCACGTGAGCTGTGTGTGCCTGCTGCGCGTGGGCACGTGTGAGCTGTGTGTGCTTGCTGCGCGTGTGCACGTGAGCTGTGTGCCTGCTGCGCGTGTGCACGTGAGCTGTGTGCCTGCTGCACGTGAGCACGTGAGCTGTGTGTGCCTGCTGCGTGTGTGCACGTGTGAGCTGTGTGTGCCTGCTGTGCGTGTGCGCGTGAGCTGTGTGCTTGCTGCGCGTGTGCGCGTGAGCTGTGTGTGCCTGCTGTGCGTGTGAGCTATGTGTTTGCTGTGCGTGTGCGTGTAAGCACGTGTGCACATGTGTGCTGTGTGAACGCAGGTGCGGGGTGCGGAACGCTGCTGAGCTCGTCTCAAAGAGGCCGTGGATAAGAGGCAAAGGAGGTTTCTATGTGGGAGGGGGACCGCAGCTCGGTCCTGCACAGCAGGAAGGGCCACCGCGGCGGTGTGGCCTCCTAATGCGCCGCTCCAGAGACCCGCACGTTTCGTGGGAGCTCAGAAACAAAGACCCTGGCTGTCCACAAGCCGCTGGGTCAGCCACTCCCCCCCCCCCCCAGCTGAGGCCAGGTAGCCCCCGCCTGTCTCTGGCCAGGAGCCTCAAGCACAAGGCCCTCCTCAAGTTTCAGAGTGCAGGAGGGCACGGCTCCCACATCCTGGCAGGCGCCCTGTGAGCCGGCCGGGGCCAGGTCTCGGCGTCCTTCCTCACCCACAGGCCGCCCTGTTTGCCTCTGGTGGGGAGTGGGGCTCCGGGGTGGCTTTTTCTTTCTGTTGCATGAAGCAGAAGAGGGGTTGGGACTTGCGTCAGCCATGGTGCACCTCATGCTCTATGGAGCTGCATGCTTGCCTCATGCACCAAGGACAAGGAGCAATAGAGGACAGCGGGGGGGCCCTCGGGCTCCAAGCAGACGCCAGTGGAGAATGGAGAGGGAGAAGGGTTCTCTGGTGTTCCCAAGTGTCCACACAGTCCAGGCATAGGTGCTCAGCGCCTTCACCCCTGCCACATGACGGGCCACCTGCCTGGCTGGTCCCCCGGGAGCCTGGAGCTGCCGCGGGTGGGGGCTTGGGAAAGGGCCCTCCAAGGCGCCTGGGCCATCCCTCCCCTAGGCCTCAGGCGGAGGAGTCAGGTTTAACCCCCCATGTGCCCACACTGTCCTTCCGGCCCCTTCTGTGTGACTGTGTGTCCTCTGGCGACGGCGGTCCAGATGCCTGGGGGCCCTGAGGGCTGCAGGACCTTCCCGGCTCATGACTCTGAGGACCCAACTGCCGCCCCTGCAGCAGCGCCCAGAAGGGTGGGCTTGAATCTCAAGGCTGGAGAACACGAACCAGCAAACACTGAGGCTGCCCTGGGTCAGGCCTTCTCCCCCAGGGACTCCTTTCTCATGGAAGAGCCACCGGGTTGAGATGTCCAGTGTGTTGACCCTCAGCCTCATGTGCAGAAATCCCGGCACACGGGGAGGATGGGTCAAACACACCAGTCCCTCCACCAGCCAGCTTGGACCCAGTTGCCAGCACCCCTGCTGGCTTCTGGGATGCTCTTGGGCCCCTCTGCCCTCGCCCTCCTCCCTGCCCCAGGGGCTCTGCTGTCCCCCAGCTGACCAGACCTGGCCAAGGGGCACAGGTCACAAAAGTCATCTGAATCTCCCCAGGAAGGCAGAAAGGCCCTGAAGCTTGAATTCATCACTCCGGAAGCTACTTCTGCTAACTCACCGCCTAACTGTCGGTCAACCGGGACCGGCTTCGGTGGTGCTAATTCTGATGGCCAGAAATAAAGCTCCAAAATTCTCGGGCATTCCCTGGGAGCCTCGCCCGTTGCTGGGCGCCTGGCAGGGACATTCCTATTTATTCTTCACGACAGTTCAAAGGCAAGAGTAGCAACAGGACCTGCTCAGATCCATGGAGCCGCCCAGGTCAGCCCCACTGAGGTGAGGACGTCAGGGGAGAGCCCTGGAGGGGCTGGGGCGGGAAGGACCCTGCCAGCCATGGAGCCCTGCGGCTCTGAACACATCTGATCCTCAAGGTGGCACCCCTCTGCTTCTGCCCAAGAAGCACCCCCCGGGCAGACGTCACTCGGGATGTCTACGGAAAGGAGCCCCCCATGGCAAGCTTCCCCAGACCCTGCCAAGAGGAGCAGCTCAAGGCCACCCCGACACCGCCCACCCGGGGCCCACGGGGCGCAGCCTTCCCCCCATTGCTGCTCTGTGGGGAGATGCAGGGCAGGTGTTGCCGTCATGTGGCCTGGGGCGAAGGGGGCTGGCCATTCCACAGAGACAAGGCGGGAGAGGGTTGGCATCCTGACCTAGGTGAATACTGGGGTGACTCTCTCGGAGGGGCCGTGGGTCCTTTGGTGGGGTACTTCTTGTGCCGGGGAGTTGAAGGGGGTGGGGGGCCCACAATCATATCTATCCTGGCGAGTGAACAAGAAAAGAGACACCAGCAAATGCATCGTGAAGAGCACGGAAGGGGAGTTGGCTGAGGGATGCTGCACATGGAGCGCAGTGGCCGCCATGCCCGCCTGGCTGGGGCGGCGCCCGATCTGTCCCGTGTGCAGGCGAGCGCGGGACCGGGGAGCTGCCGCCTCACGGCTGGGCCCAGGCCTGCCCGGGCGAGCAGGTGTGTGCACGGGAGCCGCCACGAAGGACAACCGTGCGGCTCTGCTGGCGAGGGGCAGAGCACCCCGGCTCCTTGGGGTGGCCCATTTGGGTTGCTTTTCCAGACAGAAAGGGAGGGAGAAGGAAAGTTTAGGACAGAAGAGCCTGGTGAACAAAATCAGCCTCCGTGAGAGAGATGTGGGAGCAGGCCCAGCAGCCAAGACACTGCACCTGCTCTCTCACACGCACATCTGTGCGTGAGCACACACACACACGTGCACACACACGGGCTTGCACCCTTGCACACATTTGCTTGTGTGTGCACATATTCGTTCACATACTCACACAGATCTGTTCAGATGCACAGCGTAGGTCTAGCCGATGCTCTGGGGAGGACAGTGAGCAATTGGCTTCCTAGCCTTAGCCCGTGTGGAGGAAGGGGTCACCGCCCCCGGCTCCCCGCCCCACAGGAGCAGCTTTGGGCCCAGAGGGACCCCTCCCGGGTGTTCCACTGCAGGACTGGGGAAGCACCCCAAGGCAGGTGCACACTGACTTCCCCAGAATGAGGACTACACTACTCAGGCACTGGGCTGACCCCTAGGATTGTCCCCTGACCGTCCAGACCTTCTCCCAGCCAGGGCCCAGGCTTCTGGGGCAGACAGCCTGCAGCACCCCAGTCTGAGGGACCCTGGGCAGGGGAGGGAGCGTTGGCTGGCAGAACCATGGGACCCACTTCAGGAAAGACCCATAACAACAGCCCCGTGGCCTCCTCACAGGCCCCACAAACACACATGCATGCACATACTGTTTTGGATGTGGCAGAGGGTACGCACCTCTGAGCACGTGTGTGTTTGCGGTACGTGTGTGTTATGGAGGTAGAGAATGCTTGTATGTGGCATGAAACTGAGTGTAGCTGTGTGTGTACGTGTGTCCACGCATGTGCATGTGTATGTGTCCACGCATGTGCATCCGTGTGCATTCCATGCGTCTGTGTGTCCGTGCATGTACTGTGCGCGTGTGTGCCCATGCATGTGCCAGCATGTGCATGCACACGGGAGTGGACACGTCCTGTGTGCACACGTGTACACGCCTGTACATGGTGTGCAGCTAAGTCCTGGAGTGAACAAGCCTGTCCTCACACACACACGGCTGCACACAAGCAAAGCAGTGTGCGCCCAGCCATCATCGGGCCTCAGACGTGCGTCCCAGCCCCACTTCCTGCTGGGGGAGTGGGGAGCCCCCCGTGAGGCAGGGACGCGGACAAGCCTCTGTGTCCCCATGTAGTGTCACTGCTTCCTGATGGGGGTCACGAACCTGCAACCTCATCTCCTGAGAACTATCCCATCCCCAACACACAGGCACACAAGTGTGCCGGCTCACACATACATGCACACATGGCACAGCACACACAGAGGCACATGCACACACCACACACATGCATAACGTGTATGCACATGCGTGCAACCAGATACCCGAACACGTGTGTGCACTCGCACAATACACGTGTGCACACGTGTGCGTCCACAGGACACATGTGTGCACGTGCATGCCTGTGAATGCACACGCACACACACTTGCCCACTGTAGCAGGGGCAGGGGGGCGGGAAGGGAGAGACAACAGAAATATTCCAACAAACAGGCCACATGAGGACACAGCAGGACGCCCACGTAGGGCCGGTGTGGGGCCAGAGAGGAACAGCCCGGAGGCGGCAGCAGGTAGGGCCGACCACCGTGTCCCCACAGCCCTGTCCACCGTCCCCCCTCTCGGGGGGGGCAGCGTGTGGCTCCCCACGCTGAACCCCACCCCTGTGCTGCCCCTGAGGGACACCACCACACTGGGGCCACACTGGCTTTGGCCCAGAAGGACCCCGCCTCCATGCCCCGGGGCTGGGCAGGCTGCGGGGGAGGCTCTTGCCTGGACTGCAGGTTTTTGATGCGGGACAGCATGTCCAGGTGACCAGCCGAGTACTGCTCAATCACATCCATCACGTCGTATGGCCGCAGGCTCTCTTTGAACTTGCGCTTGGACACCAGGAACCGCATCACACTGGGGGAGCACAACTGTGAGCCCTGGGCTGGCCCCTGCCCTGGGCACCCCCAGCATCTCCCAGAACATCCACCAGAGGACACGTTACAGTGATCTGGCCAAGCCACCCACCTGCCACATACACAGGCCACTCCTGGGCCTGGGGTGCAGACAGACCCTCGGCCACCCGGGACCCCTGTGGGGGCGGCTCCTGGCCACCCCCTCAGAGCCTCAGTGCTCCACACCCGGGATGGGCAGGGGATACAGCCACGACAGGAGGGGCCGCGGGAGCCGTCACCAGCCCCCAAAGGGCCCATACCCCAGGGACAGCAGACAGCACCCCTCCTGGACTTTGTGGGAGGCCCCTTGCCCTGGACACTGAGTGCCTCACCACACAGCCCGGATGCTGACTTTGAGGCCCGGGGTCAGGTCTTCGGGCACAAACTCGCAGGTGCAACTTTTGTTGTCTTCTGCGATGTCCTCACCAGGGAGACTGGCTTCTAGGTGGAAGGAGACACGGCTCGTGAGGGGCTGAGCCATGTCCAGGGACCGAGTGGGCCACAGCACATGCTTGCTGGGGACAGCGTCAGGGAAGCCTCCCAGTGCTCTGGAAACCTGCCCTCTGTCCCGCTGAGGCCGCAGGGAGAGGCCCCCGTGATGGCTGAAAAGTGGATGAAGGGCAGACCCAGTGTGCTACGGCCATAGGAAAAACAGAACATCAGCCCGCCATAAACAGGCGTGAAGCCTGATTGGTGGCCCAGTGTGAAAGCATCTGGAAACAGGCGCACACAGTGTGTGATTCCACGTGTGTGAAATATCCAGCACAGACTGGTAGTGGCCGGGGGCTGGGAGGGATTGCTAACAGGCACGGGTCTCCTTTGGGGCATGGAATGCTCTGGAACGAGAGAGGTGGTCTCTGCTCAACACTGAATGTGCTCAGTGCACTGAGTTGTTCGCTTAAAAGTGGCTGGTTTTATGTTACACGACTTCACCTCAAAAAGAAGAAAGGGGAAAGGGGGAGCTGCTGCTCAAGGGGGCTACAGGGCTCCCGATGGTGCCCGAGGGGCAGCTGGACCGCGGGAGGGCAGTGGCCTGACCCACCTTCTGAGTTCTGTCGGGACGCGGCACCCTTAATCCGGAAGGCCTGCCGTGCCCGGCTGCGGTCCCCGAAGCTCCAGCTCTTGGGCACCTTGCTCGGACTGTCCTCCAGACTCTGGTCGGCACTGGGTGACCGCCGGACGGTCTGGGCCTGCGGGGACCCCTTCCCCTTGGCAGCCACGCCTCGGGGGCTGGAGAAGACACGGTCTTTCAAACTGACCTTCTGACTGCTCCCACGACGACCGACAGGAGGGCGGACACACACAGAAAGACAGCAAGAGAAATCACTCTGGAAAGAACGCTCACACCCCACCGTCCGCTCACAGCTGACGCCTACACGTGGGGGTGGGAGCAGGGAGACAAGGAGCGCGGGTGGGTGGGCGCTCCGAGGGCCACTCAGGGGCTCGGCCCGGCTGGGGAGGTGGTCAGTGGACACTTCAATCACTTTCGGTGCTACGGAAAGGTGTCAAGAGTCCCCCCACACGGTCGTGTCAGGTCTCCCTCTCCAAGGTGACGTGAGGGCCCCAAACGCCCTGCAGGTCCCCCTGCCCGCCCCACCACACCCCACACCTGCCCCCGCGGCGGCCCCCTCCCCCTGCCACCTGCTCCAGGGGCTGGAGGGGTGAGGTCTGCAGCTGACCACTGGCCTCTGCCAAGCCCCGGAAGCCCCCTGGAGGAAGGGTTTGGGTCGGGAGCAGGAGCATGGGCGTCACGGAGGGGGTGAGGGCCTCCTGTGGGCTCCACAGCGTTGTCCGGCCCCCTGCACCCAGGGCCAGCACAGCCTCCACACCCACACACAGGATGTGACCGGGTGTGGGACTGAAGGCCCACACTGCCAGAGGGATGGAGTGGACACGCCTCCCCTGCCAACCGCCTCGCTGGAATAGGCCTTGCTGGCCCGAGACCACCGGGAGGGGGCAGCTCTGCTGGCCACAGCCCTGCAGGGGTCCTTGGGCCCCCGCCCCCGGCCCCACGTCTCTTGGAAACTGTGAAGATGGGTCTGGTACCCTCTGGGCAGCAACCAGGAGGCACAAGTGGGTTGTGATGGTCCAGGCGCAGGTCTGGCCCAGGGACCCGGCAGCCACTCGCTTCCTCCCCCTGGACAGTGTCCACTGTCTAAGAGCAAGGCTCTTGCGACCTGCACACCTGCTTACACCCAGCCACAGGCAGGAGCCACAGAACTTCCTGGAACAGCCTCTGAGCCAGGACTTGTGCTGCCCCGGGGCATGCAACAAGCCTGCCTGGAGGCCCAGCGGGGTCTCTGCTGTCACTGGGAGGCCGCCATCACCTGCTGACCCCTCAGACGTCGCCAGACCCCAGTGTGGCTCCCCTGGGTCACCGCCTCCATTGACCCCAACCAGGACCCACAGCCGAGACAAGACCCCTCAGACGGCGCAGACATGACTGGCCACGGAGAAGTGGCCAGTGGCCTGGTCTATCCTGCCTGGACACTGTAGTCCCAGCCAGTGCCCCGTCCCTTCCCCCAGGCCGCAGAGATCATCCCTCTGCTAGATTGAAGGTCTCGTGGGACAGGGAAAAAGGGAAGAAAGGAGCCCCCCAGAGCCAGAAGTCGGCCTCAAGTGCAGATCCCACTCGGGAGTGGGGCAGGCATCTGCTTGCTCAGGACACTGGCCCCAAGCCCGTAACAGCACAAGGCCAAGAATGGGCAGATGGGAGCTGAGGGACGCCCAAATCCAGGTGTGCCGCGGGGCCCTCAGCACAGATGACCTTCTCCTTCCCAATGGAGACCAACACCTGGTCCAGGGAGACCACAGAAGCCATGGCCCCCCCAAGCCCCCAGGCGCTGGACCCCACGCAGCTGCCTCGAGGACGGAGCCACAGGAAGGCCTTGCTGTCCCAGCCCCTGGAAGGCCCAGACTGGGGAGGGGCGCTGTGCCGGAGGAGGCCACCGTGTGGATGCCTGAACTAGCACAGCTCAGCCTGCAGACGCCCGGCCCCCGGCCACCCAGACTGGCCCCACGGCCAGGTGCCCAAGCAGCTCCTGCTCCCGCAGGTGTCCAGGAAAGGCTGCCCTAACCTCACAGGCCAAGGACAGAAGCAAACAAACACGAAGGATGGGGCTCTGGCCACCTGCAGCAGGGGAAAGAGCCCTCGATGAGACCACCATGTGTGTGAAAGGGGCACTTTCCTGCCATCTGCACTTTGGCGTTCACACAGGACCAGGGAGCAAGTTCGAGAGGGTCTGGGGGAGAAAGCCAAGCCCCAGCCTTTCCTCCCCCGCCTGCCACCCTGCAGCGAAACTCTAAACACCCGGGGCCGGCTGTACAGGTACGGGGCAAGTGGGAGGCCCCGCCTGCCATCGGCCACACCTGGGTCTGCACAGCCGGGACCCGGCTCAGCGGTGAGGGACCCAGCATCCACAGGGAGAACGGCCCTGCCCACACTGGACCACAGATGCCCAGGGCAAGTGCAAAGGACGGAGTGACATTCGTGGGACTTGCACACAGCAAGGCTGAGCTTGGCCCAGGCTCCTGGACTGGCCGTGGACACCTCGGGCCCTTCTGGTCCCCAAGCAGCCTGACCACAGCCCCTGAACCAAGGAACCAGCCTGTGGCCCCACAAGCTCTGTACAAGCAGGACAGCTTTTGCCGGGGCCCCAAGTCTCCGCTCCTGTGGCTGCAAGTCTCCCCCAAGCGCCGACCTCCGGGAACACACAGGCAACGTGGAGAGGTTGGGGGAGGCAGGCCTCCAAGCCCCGCTCCAGGAGAGGACTCAGAGCATGCACAGATGCAGACGGACAAGCATGCTGCCGCCCGGGGGCCCTGGTCCTGCCGCACAGCCCCTCCCCACGCCCGCCGCTCAACACCATTGCTTCCGGGGCCGGCGCCAACCACATGCACAGGACAGGCGGACACAGCTGCCCACACGCGGCAGGGCTGCACACTGCACTGGTCAGGGAGGGAGGCAGGCAGGAGGGAGATGGGAGTGGGCGGGGCCCAGAGCAAGCAAGAGGGCAGACGCTTCCACACACCCGACAGCAGACGCGGACAGAGAGAGTGGAGGTGCGGACAAGGAGCCCACGGTGCAGAGGGCTGGGGTGGGGGTGGCTTTTCTACCGTCCCGTTTCCAGTCCGCCCTAAACCAGGCCTGTGGTGGGAAGGGGGAGCCGAGGGCCTCTGGCTTTGTGGCGTGTCCGGTGTGTCAGGACCGTGGGGAGCCCGGCACACACAGGACGGAGCTGCCTCCCGCGGGTGAGGCGGCCGGGCCAGAGTGGCCGTCCTCGGGTGCGTAGTAGAGGTGCTAGACTGGCGAGCCCCAGGGAAAGGTCTCACCAGAGAGCGACGAGGACCCCAGAAGCCACCAGCGCCCATTCTGGGCTTCCGAGCCCCTGGCCGGCCCCCCTCCTGCTTGGAGCAGGGCATTGTTTGGCTTGGGGAGAAAAGCATGTTGGTGCTGCCGCCACGGTCAGCCGGAGGCCGTTTGGAATCACGGGGGGCCTGGCGCTCTGTGGCAAGGGGCCGCGGAGGCCGAGCTGCCAATCAGAATTGGGGCCTGGGGGGCCGGGGGAGGGGGCACCAGCCTCGCCCTCGCTCATCTAGAACCTCTAGTAAGCAGAGTGTTTGGCGCAGGGGGGAGGTGGGGAGCCGTGCAGCAATGGTCGGCGCGTGCGACACGCCCGCGGTACCTAGAGTGTCCAGGGCAGCATCCACACAGGGACTCTCTGCACGGTCTGCCTTTACTGGAAATGAGGAGAGCACAGTTAGTCCTGGCGGACAGGACGCACGGGCCCACCCGCAGGGCGGCTCTGGGCTCAGCGTCCACCAGCAGCACTTGGATCTGAGCAACGACACTGAGGGGGCTGCACATAAAGTCTCCCGCCGGCCTGGAAAAGAAAACAGTGCCCTATTTTTGGAGAAAAAAAAAAAATCCCGTTTTTTTTTTTCCTCCAAAAATACCTTTTCCTTCCAGAGTCAGAGTTTTGGGCCATGTCTTTTTAAAGATGTATTATTTTTTGCTATATTCATGCCAACAAAAAAATAATACATGGGCAAGACTTTGCAAGAGGCTGGTTGTAGATGGGCAGGATTCCGGAAAGCACACATTTTAGGGAGGAAAAACGTGCAGTCTGGTGTCACAAACCAGTCACCAAGGCTCCGCCAGGCCCCACCAGCTGCCCATCGGAAGTGGCCTCAGTTTACCCCGGAGGGAAGCTCAGGAAAGCGGCCTTGGGGTGCGTGGATCTAAGCGGACTGAGGACATCGGTTCCCTTGGGGCTCGGTGCCAAAGCCCTGGGCCGGCCAGGCCGCACCTGCCGGCAGCTCCTCGGGAAAAGCCCCACCAGGGGCCCACACTCCCCAAGCACCTGCCCTGGAGGCCCGCGATCCGTCTCTGCACCAGCACGAGCACTTTTCTAAGCAAAACTAAACACACAAGAGCCTTTCGTTTTCCTGGAGCCTCCCTCCCGCCCTCCACCTCCACAGCTGTTGCCAAGATAGCTGCCCTCACACCGTGGGTCCGAGGAACCAGACGCGCCAACACCCTCCCCCCCCCCCCCCCGGAAAACCCCCCTCTGGGCCCCCCTCCCCGGCCTCCACACAGGTAAATGCTGGTGGCACCTGCCGGCACCCCAGCAGGACCTCACCAGCCACTAGAAAGGACACGCTCTGGTAGTTTCACAGGGTGAGCAGGTCAGGCTCCTCTAAGAGAGCTCTGTGTGGCCCCGGGGGGCTGTGAGGGCCACGCTCCCCCCCACAAGCCACCATCCCCTCCAAGGAGGACTTCCTTCCTGCAGGGTCCTCCCGGTGAGGGACCTGGGGTCCAGCTGTATCAGCAAGCACTCTCACGTGGGGGTGAGCATCCCTGTCACTCAGTAACCCCAGGATCCAACCCCCCACCACCCAGCAGCTCTGGCTGCTCACAGAAGCCCCTCAAATTTGGGGCAAATGCTCTCTCCCAAGGCACATCCTCACGTCAGCCACAGTCCCACCACAGCTGAAGACGGGGACCCTCACGCTCTCCCCCCCAGGGCTCCGCAGGCCTGCACACGGCCCCCCACCCCCACCACCTGGAGGCTCTGTCCAGGGAAAGAGGACGATGGGGGGATGGTCTCTGCTTCCAACACCTTAGAAGGGCTCCAGCTTTGACCAACCCCCCAACCAGCTTTGCTGTCTCTCCCAGCGCAGACACGGGCCTAGAAGCACAACCCAGGGCCCCCCAAGGCCCAATCACCCTGGGAAATGTTCCCGCCCCCCGAGTCTCAGAGCCTGAGGCAGGGCTAACTGTACTTAGCGAAAACTGACACCGTCCCACGTGGCCAGGGGCCCCTGGACGGGACAGTGTACCGAGAGAGCCTGACCAGAGCTGGAGGGAGCTGGGCTGCCGGTGCCCACGGCCTCCCTGAGCACGGCCCCGCGGGCTCGAGGGGGCAAGGACCCCCACCTCAGGGGGTTTTCCTGCCCACAGAAGCCGACAGCAGAGCCCTGAGAGGGGCAGGCAGGCCAGCCCAGGGGGCCTGGGGACGACGTGGGTGGAAGGGTGCCCACAGACACTCCCCAAGACCAGACTGAACAGACAGGCACTCGGACACAGCACATTGCTGCCTTCGACGGAGGGACCCACACGGACACAGGGGCAAAGCAGCTGGAGGACAGGGCTCTCCTCCAGGCACAGGGGGAGGAACGGGGTGGGGCAGGGGGCAGGCCGGAGACACACCCAGAGCAGCACAGCCCGAGACCCCGAGGCCTGCCCCCCCACACCCTGACCCTGACCCAGACGGCCTTGGCCTGGCGCCAGCAGAGCCGCAGTGGGTCCTGCCCAGCCAAAGGACCCCCACACAGCCGGGGCGCACGCCCATCATGAGCCCAGACCGGGAGGCGGGTCTCTCGGCAGCTGAGTGAGGGTCCCTGTGCCCACCCCATCCACCTGCCCAGACCGGTCAGCGCAAGCAGGACCCTGGGGTACAGGTGGCAGGCAGCGGCCTGGCCACTACCGCCCGCCCACCACGGGGCGGGGGGCAGGGGGGCCGGGGGGAGCACACCCCCATGAGCACTTCCCAGAGCAGGGTCCCCTTGCCCAGCAGCCCTGGGACAGACCCACCCCCTCATGGGCCCCAGTGGCAGAACAAGTTCCTGCATCCCTACTATGCACCGGCTGCCGGAGAGAGGGTCTGCGGCTGCCCCGGGGAATGGGAAAGAAATGCCACCCTCCCGCACCCGGCAGACAAGTGTGCATCCCGGGGCCTCAGCCCAGGGTCCGCCAGGAGGAGGGCCAGGCCAGTCTGGTCGTCGGGGAAGCCACTGGGTCACGGGCAGGCAGGGACACACGGACACACGGGGAGGAGACAGAGGAGTGGTGTGCGGAAAGCAGGGAGAGGGGAGCCACGGAACGTACCGGAGAGCCCGGGGGAGGGCTCCCGTGTGTCCTCACCTTGAGTCCTGCTTTCAGGGTCAGCCACCTCCTCCCCAAAGACAGACGGACGTGAAAGGGGCCCAAGAAGGGCAGTGACAAGATTAAAGGCACTTGGGGGGGCAGGCAAGAGTGTCCAAATTGGGGGGAGGGCAGGAGAGAGAGAGAGAGAGAGAGGCTGAAACGAGGGCCGTGGGGGGCAACGAGAAGCCGCATCAGGCCGGGGGGCCTCGGTGGGCGGGGCAGAGCCGCCGGCCCGCCTCCCCGGGCTCAGGGTGCGGGCTCACAGAAGCGCCCGGGGGCCTGAGGAAGTGCGGGCAGCCCCCGGGTCCCCCGCACTCCAGGCGGAGCCTGGCACATGTTTCCCACTCCTCCCTGAAGATGAGCACAGAGCTCTCTAAGCCGGGAAAGCAGCTGGGCCCCCTGGCAGGTTTCTGAACCACTGTGAAGGGTTCGTCCCCATTGCTCCTCTGGCCGGTTCGGGGCAAACGCGGGGCCACTCTTCTTGGTTCCAGACATAGGCTGCCAGTCCTCTTTGGGGCACTCGGGGGACGGAGGAGGGTAGGGCTCAGCCTAACTCCAGCTCCACAAACTGAGTGGACAGCTGAGTCGCCTACGGTCCAGAAGGGCATTCACGGAGGGCAGGCAGACTCTGGCCCAGGGTCGGGGGACTGGGTGCTAAGGGGACCCCGGGCTCGGAGGACTCAGCACAGTGACACACACACGGGCTGGGGTCCATCAGACTTGACAGTCATGAAATAGCCGGGATTTTCCCTTGAATACCGGGAAACAGCAGATGGCTGTCCGCCCTTCTCTGCCTGCAGACACGGCCCCTGTCTCTAATTAGCCTGACAGCTAATGCACCTGCAAAGGCTGGGCCAGCAGACACAGAACTGGGGTGGTCCATCTCCACCAAAGAGGTGGGACACAGGGCTTGAGAGTCTGGCCCTGACCCGGAGTGGGGGTGTTCACAGATCTGCTGCCTTAGGGCCCCAGGCCAGGCGGGCAGGGGGGGGCTGCCCCTCGGCTGCCCCACCCTGGAGCAGTGGGACAAAGGTGCTGAGCACAGGCAAAGTGATTTAAGGGCCCACAGCGCGGCCGGCAGGGTCCAGACACACAGTTCCACACGTGGGCACGCACAGACATGGAGGGACCAGCACGGCTCATGGCAACGTGCCTGGGCAGCAGGGGGCAAGCAGGCACTGACCTTGGAGAGGGCTCCGGCTGAGGCTCCTTCCTTTAAACAGAAGCGACAAAGCAGTTAGCAGCAGGCCCGCCGGGCGGACCCCACGCCCCAAAGGGCCCAGTGGACCTCCCATGGCACCCACCACGGTCCACGGCCCCACCCGGAGCCCACCTGAGGCCCACGCACCCCGAGAGCCCCTGGAGGGCCCGAGGAGGCAGGCCTGCAGGAGAGAGGGAATTCTGGAAGTGGCTACGGCCCCAGGCTTTAATGAGAATCACCAACATTAACTAAGTTTCACGGAGGAAATGAGTGCAGACGGAAACGCTAGCAGAGTTCAGCTTCCACAATCCGCGTTCGGGACGGACAGCTGCTCTGGCTCTTCCCACTGGGGGCTTCACGGGATCACTCTCTTCCGCATGGTTCTCCCGCTGAGAGCGAATGGCCACAGCCCTGGGCCCGCGCTCAGCCCACCCTGCCCGTGGCTTGATGACACCTACTGGCAACGTTCATCACGAACAGGAACAGGATGGAGGCTGGGACTGCACTCGGTGGGTCCCCGAGACGACTGCAGGGTACCCCAAGCGGGCTCTTCGGGGCCTGAAACCTTTGCAGAGCACCTGGTGTATTGATGCCACTGGCAGAACACCGTGTAACCGAGGCAGCAGGAGGGCGTGCCCAGACGTCCTGCTTGGGGCTGGGGTCCCTGAGGGCGGGCCCTAACCTCCTGGGCTCCCCTTTCCATGCGGTCCAGGGACACGGTGTACAAAGGCCTCCGTGGGAACCCCAGCCCTGTGCTGCCCCATCCCACAGCCGCCCTGAGCTCAGCCGCCAAGGGCTGCTTGCCACACACCCCTGTGTCTCCTGGGACCACAGAAGTCAGAAATCCAGGTGTCGATCGGCAGCAACCCCCTCCCGGCCTCCAGGGCTGGAGGGTTGGGTCCCCCTGCCTCTCCCAGCCCCTGGGGTCTCAGGCACCCCTGAGCTTGTGGCCAAGTCCCTCTGGTCTCTGCTTCCTTGTCACACGGCCTCTCCTTTTTCAGGACGGTGTCACTGGGTATAGGGCCGCCCTAATCCAGGATGACCACAATTCAAGATCCTTAACTACATCTGCAAACCTTCCCTTTCCCCAGATTAGGTCCCATTCACGGTTCCAGTGCATGGACATATCTTTTGGGGGCCACCATTCAATTCACTACATTCTATGCCCCCTTACACCCAACACCCCAAAGTCTCAACCCATGACAGCATCAGCCCTGTGTCCAAATCTCAACAAAAGCTCAGCGGCTCAGAGTCCAGAATCCCAGCATCCTGGTCATCTGAACCGGGTGTGAGCGAGACTCTGGGGGTGATCCTTCCTGGGGTAAAAGTCCTCCCCAGCTGGGGACCTGTTGCCTCTAGAAAACCAGTGATCTGCCCCCAAAACACAACAGGACAGACACACCATCTGAACAGGGAGAAGGTGGTAGGAATAAAGGTCCCCAGTACCCAAAGTCAGGCCCAGGGGAAACCCCACTTGGTAACAAACGCCCCAGTCACCCCCAGGGGCCCTGGGACCCAGGCCCCGGCCTCAGCATGCTTGGGGCCACATGGCCCCATCTCTGCCTCCCTTCGTGTGGCCCTCTTTGCTGTCTCTTATAGGGACACTTATCACTGGATTCAGGGCCCATGCTAATCCAGAATGATCTTGTGTGGAGATCCTTTACTTAGTAACATCTGCACAGACTTTCCAAATAAGGTTTCGTTCGCAGGTTCCAGGGCATGGACAAATCTCAGGGGGAGAGGCGGGAGCCACCACTCACCCCCCACGGCGGCTCCACCCCACCGACAGCTCTTCAGAGGCGGCAAACCGCTGGGGGCTGCCCTGGACATGGGGACCCAGGCGGCCGTCCCTCTGTCCACCCTCCCGCCGGGCGAGCCCTCCTCCCCCGCACACCTGGCTCTGTGCCCCCCCACGCTCCAGAGTCACAGATTTTGGGATTACAGGAGGACCAGCAAGCGCCATAGTGGGTACGTCCACCCAATGCTCTGGGGAGATGGGGGGCTGGCACTCTACCCCCGTATCCAGCCCCCAAACCAGCCACCCTCTGGGGATGCGAGCCTCCACCGAGTCAGCAGAAGTGGAAAACCACCAAGACCACCAGACCCCAGGGCATCCTGTAGCTGCCTGCCCCTCCCCGAGGACCCCCCAGGAGGACCGAGCACAGCCCAGGAGCCCCTCTGCTGACCTGAAGGTGAGCCCAGATTTACTCTTGAGGTTCCGCAGCAGCTCCAGCTGGTTCAGGGGTGGGATCAGTCTGCGGCGAGAAGAGACACAGTGAGCTTCTGCCCGCCGGGGCCTGGGGGACCTGCACCCCGGCTCTCACCAGCGTCCACTTCACACATGGATGCCTGCAGCGGTAATGCTGGGGGCATGGGTGTGGCCTGTCCCAGGCAGAGGGAGGGGAGAGCTCCCTGGCAACCGTGGCCCTGGGGGCCATCTGCACCATCTGGGCTGCGCCTTTCATAGGAGCCGTGGCCCTGGCAGTGGGCATGACCAGCATGCACGGCAGAGGGGTAGGAATGCCCCCAGGCTGTCCATGGAGGGCGTGGAGTGGGTCCAGAAGGTCCCGAAAGACAGGTGGGTGGGGCCTTCTACCCTCCCCTCTCCTTCTCCAATCCCTGAACACCCCAAACACCCCCAAGGGGCAGCACAGTTGCAAATAGCACCCCTCTCTGCAAAGCCATGCCCTCTGCCAAAGTCAGGGCAGGGGCCAGGGTCCTAGAAAAGGGCTTTGCTGGGCAGAGAGAAGCCCACTCTGGGTATGTAGACGAGCTGCCTGGGCAGCTGGAGGAAAAGCCCCTGGATCTTTGGCAAGCTGGCCCAGCTCTGCTCCATGCCCCCTCCTCCCAGACCAGGTCACACCCACCCAGGACAAGCTCATGTCCAGCCCCCTGCCTGCAGGCCAGGCACCCTCCCACGGTGGCCCCTGGGCAGCTCCAGCCAGAACTTCCATGGAAACCGAGAGGGTAATTAAGTCCTCACCTTGACACCAAGGCAGGGGACCTATAAACCCTGGGAGGTTCCTGGGAGACCCCCAGCAGCCCCCACCTCCAGCCACAGGACCAGGGCCTCACAGGGGGACTCCAGTCCGTCCCAACGTCTGGGGCAAGCTCCATCCCTCGCCCAGCCTCTGCCTGACTCAGGGTCTCACTACTTTCTGCCCTCAGACACTTCTCACCTCATGTTGGGCAAACCCCCCTTTTCCTACTTGACCCCAGGCCCTGGTCGCTCCTCCCTGACACAGCCCCCACCCGGACGACACCCCCATCACGCTCTGACACCCTCACCCTGTCATCCCGACCCCACTGTGACCCCCATCCCACTCGGTGACACTCTCACCCTGCTGTGACACCTTCACCTCGCTGTGACACTCATCTATTCTGTAACCACAACTCCTCTCTGTGACCCCCCGCTCAAACCCTCAGCTTTGGGATCCCACGCACTCCTTTAAAACCACACTCAAAGACCCCCACCCAGCCTAAGCCCCCAACCCTGTCCTCTAGCCTTCTTGACCCTGGGGACCCCTGACACGCCCAGGCCCGTGGGCCCCGGTCAAGCATCAGTGTCTGAGCCTCTCCTTGGTGCGTGAGGGGCAGCACTACTTCCCTGCACGGGCCCAGCCTCCCCTGCTAGCAGGTCTCCGCCTGCTGCTCTCCCTCCGCCGGCAGACCAGGCTGGAGCCCACCCTGCCTTCGCGGGTCACTCAGCGGCTCCCCGGAGCCCCAGGGTTGAAGGATCGCTCGCTGCCCCACGGGAAGCCACGGCACTGACAGACAGCCTCCTAGTCTCCGGCTTTGCTCCGCCGCCCCCAGCTTCCTGACGCCAGTGCCGCCCCCCACCATGGGTCCTGCTGTCTGGTCCAGCTCAGCTCCCTCTGGAGCAGAACCAGGCTCTGGAGGGGCGTCCCGTGAGCTCTCTCTCCTCTCCCTCCTGCTCGCTCTTCCCTCCCCCTGCCCCTCCTCCTCCTCCAGGGCCCACCCAGTCGTAGGGGCCAAGGCTAAGCAGGAGGTGTGGGCAGTCAGGTTGGCTCACACCACGGGCACAGCAGAGGCCCCAGGGCTAGACACGGGGACAATACTGGCCTCCCCACTCCCCCTCAACCACCCACCCACGGGCCTGCAGCAGAGACCCCGGACAGCCCCCCCCCACACACACAGGTCCAAGGTTAGGGACACGCAGATAGGATGTCATGCCTTGGACACACAGCAGCAGGGCACGGAACACGGACGGGCAGGGCCACGGCAGGGGCGTGCACCACATGTGAGGGCCACACACACCGTCCCCATCCCTTCGGGGACGTGCCGACGGGAGTAAGGGGCATGTCGGGGGGCACCCCACAGGACAGAGCAGTGGCTGGTCAGGAGTCAGCCGGCTCAGAGTCCAGTCACCCAGGCCAAGGTGGGGAGGGTCTGGGACTGGCTGAAGAAGATGGACCAAGGGAGGGTAGGAGGAGCCTCAAGCAGGGTACCCCCCCCACCGCCCAGGCAGCCTGGAGCCCCAGGAGCCCAGGGCCAGCACACAGGGGAGGACGCTGCCCCCCACCCGCCTACTCCTCTGAGCAAGGCCTCTGGGGTATGCCGCCAGTAAAAGGCAGGTGCTGGGGTGGAGATGCCCGTGGGGCTCAGCACCCTCCTCCTTTCTGAGAACAGAGGGTTAGCGGTCTAACACTTCCCACGCAGGACGCCACAGGCCAAGAGCTTCTGCCCAGGGACCCCTGGCTCTGTGTACAAGGGAGAGGGTGGACCCTCGCTCTGCAGGCCTGTGTGTGGATGCACTCACCCAGCACGGTCCGCACCCATCCCTCAGGGAAGGGCCTACAGAGGAGCTGCTCTGTGCATGGAGTAGGATTTCCTGTTGCAGCTCAGCACCCCCACTCTGGGCAAGTGACCCCCTTTCCTCCCTGCAGCAGGAGTGAGAGCGCCACGCCCCCCTCCCCCGCCCTATGCAGACACAGTGATCCCAGACAGCACACAAGGACCGCAGGCCCTCGGTCCTCCCAGGTCCAGAGAGGGAAAACCCAAGCAGCACCAGAGGCGAGCTGCCTGCTGGGAACAGGTGCCCTCCCCCAGCTGGGACGGAGGAAGCCCCATCTCCACCAGCTCTGTGCCCTGCGGGCAGGGGCAGAGGTGCAGGGGAGGGACACAGCAACTGAGACAAGGCAGGAAGCAGGACAAGGAACGAAGACAAGGTAGGACAGACGGATCCAGCCCGAGGAAGCAGCTGACGGGGGCGGGGGCGGGGGCGGTCGGAGAGGGAGCCGGGCTCCAGGCAGGGGCCATGGGGAGAGCAGGGCGGTGCCTGTGCCGGCATGGGGAACACAGGCGGGGCACGGGTGCAGGGGTGCTGGCCGGCAGTCCTGCTCTGCAGACTAGGGGGCCCGGGGGGGGGCTCCGGGGCGGCCCTGTCCCAGCCCCAGACGGAGAACAATCACACCACACACGCGGTCGGTCCCATGCATCTCCTACCTGGAGGCCCCGTAGGTTTGAGTTTGCGAGCTTTCAAGTGTTTTCACACACACACAAAGGGAAAAGAACGGAAATTTTAAAAGAACGGGATAAGAAAAAGAAAATGAACCAAATGGTCAAGGAAAGTGGGGGAAACAGTAGAACAAAGAAAATTAGCGTGAGGGTCGGCCCTGCTCAGGCGCGGGGCACAGGCGGGGAAGGCGGGGGCCCTCAGCACCCCGGGAAGGTGTGCGCCCCTCAGCGGGGGGCTCCAGAAAGTGCCCGGTGGGATGGTGCTGGGGGGGGCCGCGTCCCCTGCCTGGCCACCGCTGACTGGGGATCCTCAGGGGGACGCTGGCCCAGCCTGGAGCCTCGCCCCGCGCGGCCGCCCAGCCTAGGGTGGAGCCCTCTGGGGCAGGTGAGGGACTCCCTTGGGCTGGGAAGCCCCAGGGCTCAGCTTCCCCCCCAGGCGAGGGCAGGCCAGCAGGGCGGCGTTCACCCTGAGGGTCCCCAGCCCCTCTCACCTCAGACCTTGTTCTGGACCAGAGCCTGGCACAGACATACCCTGGGGCTGGCCACACGCTCTGTGCTGGGAGGCGGGGGCTACAGCCCCGGACAGGGGCCTCCTGGCCCTGGAGCCTCGATGTGGCCCTTCCCCCACACTAGTCCTCGCTGAAGGACAGGGCCAAGGTTACCCTTCCACTTCCAAGACTCTGGGGCCGGCCCTGCGGGGGCTCAGCTCCACACTGCGGGCTACCGCAGGAAGCAGCCGGCATTTACCTCCAGGAGCTCTGGGAAGGGCCTGTCTTCGCAATGCTCACAACACAATGCGACCGACAGCAAGGAAGCTAAGCAAAGGGGTGGATGGAGGTGAGAAATAAGAGCCACGAGCTATAAAACAAAGAACAAAATTAATACTGCGAAATAAATCACACACAAAACTCCTTGAAAAGTACACACATTGTTTAAAAAAAAAAAGAAAAATCAATGAAAACCATGAACAACAAAAAATGGGGTTTCAGAACAAACAGAAAATGAAACCCAGGCGATGCAGCGCACGCGGGCCCGGCCGCTGCAGGTACCTGTACATGGGCACGGTCACGGTGCGCTCATAATACTGCCACGTGGAGTGCAGGTCCGTGCGGGACAGATTGGTGGCATAGAACCTCCAGGCCGACTGCAGAGGCGAAGCAGTGAGGGTCAGACGCCTCCTTGAGCACCCCGCCCCTGCACATGCCCCCCAGGCCCAGCCCCCACCAGCCTCAGTTTACCCTCTGTAGGCCGGACACACGCCACTGCAGCCAGCCTGCATGGAGCCTTTCGTGACCTGCCTTACCTGCCACTGGTGGTTGTGATCTGTCCTGGCAGAGTCACTCCCGCTCCCCCAACCCTCAGGAGGACGCCACACTGGATATATACACGGGCGACCCCAGGAACCGAGGCCGGGGGGGCAGAGCCAGGGACACGCGCCCCGCTCCTCCCTGGGGCGCCTCGCTCCTCCCCGCCCCCCCCCACCCCGGGCAGTGGCGGGTGCGCAGTGAGGGAGGGAGCCTGTGCTGGGCTCCCAGACTGTCCTCAGCCTGGCCTGCGCTTCCGCTCTGGCTGGTTCTTCTCTTCGTGGTGAAACACACGCGCGCGCGCCATTTCAAAGTGTGCGACTCGAGGCACAGGTGCGCTTCCGCCCTGCTGCGCAGCTGCCCTCACAGCTGGTCTCCGGGAGCCCCGCCCCCGCCAGCCCTCCCCCGCCAGCCGGGGCGTCCACAGCGCCCACCTGCGTCCGGCCCTCTGCGCTGGACGTGCCCCCTCCACACGACCACACAACACCCGGCCTGTGGTGACCGGTATCAAGATTTTTGCAAGACCCGTTGGCTCTTTTTCATGATCGAAGAATGTTCAACTGTACGGAACACCGTATTTTGTTCATGCACAGGACGTGCGGCTACTTTCCGCCTTCCCCCACTGGAAATAGCGCCGCTGCAAACATCGTGGAAAAAGTTTTGGTTGAACATCGGTTTTCAGTTCTTTGGGGTCTGTACGTGGGGGGGGTGTTGCCAGGTCCTCAGGTAATGCAGACCCCCGAGGGACCACCCCACCGTTCTCTGTGCCACTTGCACCCCGCGACCAGGCACCGGGGTTCCAATTTCTCCGCATCCCCTCCAGTTCTTTCCTACATTTCTCATTTCAGTCGCCCCAGGGGGTGTGAGGACAGCTCGTTATGGTTCTGATTTGCATTTCCCTGACGACAAATGATGGGGAGCATTTCTCCCGTGCTTATTAGCTATCCGTAGGTTTCCTTTGGAGAAATGTCTGCTCAAATTCATTTCTAAATTGGTTTGTCTTTTTTGCTCCTGAGTTGTGGGAGGTCCTCATGTGTTCTGGATACTAGACTCTTATCAGAAATATGATGTGCAAATATTTTCTCCCATTCTGTGGGTTAGCTTTTCACTTTCTTCACAGTGTCCCTTGAAGCACAAAGGTTTTGAATTTTATTTTTAAAAGATTTTTTATTTTTTATGAGAGAGAGAATACAAGCAGGGGGAGCGGCAGGCAGAGGGAGAGGGAGAAATGTGGGGCTGGATCCCAGGACCCTGGGATCATGACCTTGAGCTGAAGGCAGACGCTTAACCGTCTGAGCCACCCAGGTGCCCAAAAAACTTATTTTTGATAAAGTCCCATGTGTTTATTTTTTCTCTTTTGCTTGTGCTTTAGGTTTCCTGTCTGAGAAACCAACGCCGTGGAAATTTACGCCTGTTTTCTTCTAAGAACTTTACAGTCTGGCTCTTATATTTAGGTTTTTGACCCATTTTAAGTTAATTCTGTGTAAGAGTCTAACGTTATTTTTTTTTAATTGGATATTTGGTCGTCCCAGCACCATTTGTGGAAGAGACTATTCTTTCCCGTTGGATGTTTGCAGCACCGTGGTTTGAGACTTGTTTTGTGGCCCAAATACGGTCCCTCCTGGGGAATGTTCCCTGTGCTCTGGGCAGGGCGCGCTGGGCTGTCCTGGGGATGTCTGCAGGAGTGGCTGGCTCCTGGACCGGGTCCTCCGCTTCCTGGGCTCTTCCATCCAGGATGCAAGTGGGGCGTCCCACGTCTCCAGCTCTTATCGTACCAATGTCTGTTTCACCCCATAATTCTGTCAGGTTTTGCTGCATATACTTTGGGGTTCTGTGTTAGTGTGCACGTGGTTGTCACTGTTACTTGTGGTCCACTCTTCTGTCAATGTGTCCTGACCTTCTTTGTCTCCCGCCACAGGGTCGGACTCAGCCTAGACCGTGGCCCTCCGGAGGCCACGGTTCCTGGGCAACATCTCCCTCTCTTCTTGTGCTTTCAGCCTGTCACTGTCCTGGGGCCCGGGGTGAGTCTCCCACAGACAGCATACGGCCGGGGGGATTTTCAATGTTCTTCCCCCTCTGCTTTTCAATTGGGAGGGTTCAAAACACGTCCATGTAGCGTGGTTACTGACGGGCCTCCTGCTGTGTGTGCTTCTGAGCCTTCCCCCCACTGCCTCCCTGGGGGGGGTCAGGTTTTCTCTTGCCCTTTCCTGAAGTTTTAAAAGCTGTTTTCTGAATGTCACCTGTAGATGACGACTGGCGTCTCACGCCCACAGGAGTCTAGTCTGAATGTGCACCCGCCTCTCTGCAACAGCTCACAGGCTCTGCTCCCCACCCCCGCCCGCCCCCCACCCCGCGCTGTGACCGCTAGCATTCACGGCCGATTCGCCGGGAGCCAGAAGTGGGGCTCTGTGAATGCTGCCTCGTGCATTCGTCTTTTAAATCACATAAAGAAACAAGAGATGAGTTTTTCAAAAACATGCTGCTACTCCTTTGATATTTGTCCACCGGTGACCTTTTACCAACGTCTGCGTGCCCAGGGGGCCGCTCCAGCCCTGAGACAGTTTCCAGGTAAAGCCCTGAGCTGACCCTCTGGGGGCTGTCAGAGGTCAAAGCAAACCACCACACTTCCAGAACCAGGCACACTTCTGCCTCCCTGGACACCAGCAGCCACGCCAGGAGTGCCCCAGGGCGGGGGGCAGGGCTGGGGGGGGGCAGGGGGGGAGCGTTTAGACCCACATGCTCCCGGCTGGGCGGCTGCTTTCAGGTGCATGCCCCTGGCTGATGTAAGATTTTGATTCAGGTCCTGAGAACTGAGAAGTAGGGTGCCCCCGGGGACGACCCCATCTTTAAAAAGGAAAGACGTGGGAGGGCGGGGCCGTATCCATCGGCTCCCCAGCTCTGGAGAGGGGCCCTCGGGCAGCCTGCTGCTCGGGCGCCCCGGTTCAGGAAGTACAGCTGGACCCCGAGGGGCCTCCGAGCCCCGGGCAGTGGGATGGGCTGCGTGGCTCCCTGAGTGGGGTCTGTGCGCAGCGTGGCTGAGCCAGCACACCGGCCCACACGGGACAACAGCCACCGCCCGCGCTGTCACAGCTGCAGGCCTCAGGCGTCTGCGCTTGTTCCCAACACACTGCCCTGACGTCCCTGCCCACCGTGCTCCTGCAAAGGGCTGTGGCCCGTCCACACAGGGGAGACACCAGGGCTCTGCTCCCAAATTGGGCAGGAGCCCGCCAGGAACTCCCCTGGTCCCGGGGGGCCCACCTGGACTCACCTGGATCAGGCCCGCCGCGGGGTTCCGTCTCTTCTCAAAGTGCTTCTGCCGATGTTGCTCTTGAACTTTCAGAGCAAAGCCAGACCCCAAAATGCCCTGCGAGTCATCAGAGTCAGACCATGTGCCAAGGGCCACAGCCCCCCACTCCCACCCTGACTTGTACACGCTGGGGGCCTCATGGGCTCTGCCTCCCCACCTCCACAGTCCCGAATCACGTGGGGATCTAGCTGGGGGAGAACACTTGGATTTAGGGTAAAGGAAACCTCTGGCTTGCAGGAGCATGGCGGTGCCCACCCAGAACACACCCAGACCCAGAGATCATCCTCCTTCCTGACCGTTCGTTCGCACTGAAGCAGGTGCAGGCCCAGGCTCTTGGTGAGCAGCCATGTGGGAGAGCAGTGTCCCCCCACCAGCCACCCCTCTGCCCTGCCCAGCTATGGGTGACAGTTAACAGAGCCCTCGCCCCTTCTGTGAGGGTCCCCTAGAGACCTGACAAGGGATCCATGTCACCGCAAAACACTGCTCTTGGCCACAAGGACCCTACTGGCCAGTCCCATAGGGCTGGGAGGCCCGAGAGTGACCGACAGATGCCACAGCTTGAGGACGGTCAGAGTGCTCCCATGGCACGTCATGGAAGCCCCCAGCCCCTAGCCAGGGCAGCCCTGAAAGGGCGCCTCTTTGCACCAGACCTGCCACCTCGAGCTCCTGGGGTGCTGGGGACCCTGCTGGGAGCAGTGCTCCAGTCCCATGGACCCCAAGTGGACAGGTGCCTGGGGCTGCACGCGGCCCCCACCAAAGGCAGGAAGGGGCAGCAGGACTTACCGCGGGAAGAGCAAAGAAGGAGACACCAATGAGAGTGAACGTTGCGGCCAGGAGCCTGCCGTTCCAGGTCTGGGGGTACTTGTCCCCGTAACCAATGGTCGTCAGGGTGATCTGTGGGACGGCAAGGCCGGTCACTGAGCCAGGCCTGGCAGCGACCACCACGGAGGCCACGACCCCGACCCGGATGCTCGTCCTAGCCCCCAGGAGTCTTCCACAAAGAGCTGCCCTCGGGACAGGCTGGACAGGCACAGAGGCCACCCTTCCCACGCCACCCACACGAGGCCCAGTGAGGCCAGGGTCCGCACCCCCACCCTTCATCCCTGCAACAACCATCCCCAAACTCTCCGGATCCCCCCTCTTGCCCCACATTCCAGGGCAGGGTGTGGGGTCACCAGGAGCCTCTCTTCCCACTCCACACCCGTCAGAGCCAGAAGAGCCACGGTGCAAGGAGGCTGAGCGGCTTTCCACGGAGAGAGCAGGCGGCCGCTCTGGGCTCAAGGCCGGGGAGCGGCCAGGAAGCCCAGAAAGAACCAGCAGCTGGGCAGGGATGGGGCTGAGCAGGAACCCCGGGCCGGGGGACAGACGACGGAGACAGGATGGGGGCCTTCGGAGGGCGACTTAGAAGCTGAGGCCAGAAGTGCGGGAAGGGCCCCCCCCGCCCCGGGTGCGGCTGGAGTGTCAGCTGCCCCAGCGCAATCCGGGGGGCAGGACGGGCCTCCCTGGCGCACAGCAGGGAGGCTGGTGCTCACGCACAGGGGCCTCGGGCACGCAGGAGGGCCCGCTGCCCACGGGGCGAGCCCCAGGTGGCTCCCACCAGACCTGCCGAGGGGGGCAGGAATCTGTCAGCACCCCTGGGGGCCGCCCCTCGCACTCCAGTGCGTGGAGCCCACCTAACCCCCACCATGGAGTCTGGGAAACAACACTGGATAAATCACAGCAAGGACTTCTGGGCCTGTGTGCACACAGTGAGAAACGGGGCACTGTCCCCATTCGGGCCTGCGCAGAAAGCTCTGGAAAGGCACCAGTAATGAGGAAGGGCTGCCGGGAGTGGGCGTGGGCCAGAAGGGGATCCACTCCTCACCACAAAACCCCCCTGCTCAGAACTTCACCAAGTGCGATTACCAAGGTTTTCAGTATAAACTAAGTGTATTTTAAAGACAAAAGACACTTCAAATCACCACTCCCTCCAAAAACTCTGCTGGGTCACAGCTGAGGTTATGGAAAGGAGCCCCAAGGGCAGGGGCAGGACCTGGAGGACGGGGCTCAGGGCCGGGAGGCGGGAAGAAACCCAGAGTTCACGGGACGGCAGTCTGGGCGAGAGACCCCAGCCGAAGGGAGGCACTACCAGACCCCAGCCCCGGAGAGCCCCTCCTCCACTGCAGGGCAGGGGTGAGGGACAGACCGGAGGGGGACGGACCGGCAGGGCGACGGGCAGATGGGGGACATCCCGGTAGGGGTGGGACCGGCCAGGGGGCGGACCCAAGCCCTGCAGAAAGCCCTCCAGGGAGTGGATCTTCTCAAAGACACCGAGACCCTCCCACACAGAGAAGAAATCTTATCCATAAAACAAAGGAATTTTGAAAATGAAATGAAAATCAAACTGGCGGAGCCGTAAGGTTGGGGAGGTCTCCTAGGAGCTAGACAAACACATGAGGGAATTGAGAGGGGCCAGAGCACACGTCCCAAGGTCCTGAGGTCCGTGCTGGTGTCGTCAGGCCCGGAGGGAGGGGGACGGACTGGCTCGGGGGTCCAGGTGGCAAAAGCACGTGCACAGGAGGACCCCTCCCTGAGGGCCCCATTCCAGAAGCGCATGGCAGTGGGTCCCTGAAGTGCCCGCAGGGAACGGCCACGCACCCTCCGTGGCCCCCAGCAGCCAGGGTGCAGGGAAGTGGGACTTCCACAGACACACAGGTCTCAGAGCCATCGGCCTGCTCCTCCAAAGTGAGAGCAGACTGGGGCGGGCCTGGGAGGCACGCGGGTGCGGGGACCCCCCCCGACACCGGCCAGGGCCCCCCATAGCTGTGCAGGGGGCTCAGGCAGGATGTCTTCCTAGAAGGACGAGGACAGCAGAGGGGCCGAACCTCACTCTATCACAGCACCAAGTGGATAATTCAGGTCTAACGCTTCAATCGGGAAACAGCAGCATAAGCATGTTATTTGGGAATACGGAAGGAAACCCCCAAGAAAAGCCTCCCCACAGGCAGGAAGGGGCTGCACGTTCACTGATACCGCTGTTTATTCATCATGTTTACATCTATGCAAGCACGACTTCGGTCAAACACTCAAAGAAGAGTTTCGATTCAATTCTCAAAGATGGGAGGACTGGTCCCTGCACAAGGCCGGGGGCGGGACAGGCCGCGTCACCAGCCACTGGCCCAGGGCCCGCCTCCGCTGCTTCCTGCATGGCTGGATCAGGGGACAGATTCCAGGCCTCCCGGCAATCAATACAATAATTACAAATAAACTGCATTCTCACTTAAATGCAGGGAAAAGCTACACATTCCTTCTCCCCATTAGATGTGAAGTATCTGCCGAAGGCCACACAGCCAGCATCTGTGGGAAGGGGTCTAGAGTCCCAGGAGACAGTGGACCCATACGACCCTGCATGCACCCCCGGGCCAAGTGCTCAGCTCCCTCAGGAAGAGCCCCACAAAGGAGGGGCCCCCAGCGCCCTGCCTGGGGACACCTGTGGACACGGGCCGGGAGAAGCTGGGCCAGGCTCCGTCCAGCTAATAGGGGTGAAGCCCGCAGGGCTCAGCCTGGTCCCCACAAGGCACACTCCAAAGACGCGGGGCTGTCCCCACTCAGGGTGGCCCAGGAAGAGGCAGGTGACAGGAGAGGGGCCGTCCAGGAGCCTGGGAGTTGGGCGGCCGTGAGCAGGCGCTGTGGGTCCAAAGGCTCCAGACCTCCCTGGGTGGGGCAGCCTGGAAGGTGGAGCCCAGGAGAGCCAGGGGCTCCGGTGTCCGTTTTTCAAACTGTCCCTCCTGCCTCCTCCTCCCCTCCAGCAGAGGGGTCTCACACACAGGCGGCCGACAAGGAAGGAAGGTGATGGCCAGCCAGAGCCAGGCACAGGCTCCCTGCGGGCTGGGCCTCTGTCCACCTGTACGCCAGCCGTGCCCTCCCACCGCCGCCCAGCCTGGGCATCCTGCTCACAACTGGCCAGGAGGTGGCCCCAGAGAGACACCTCCGGCCGGAGAGAGCCCTCCTGTCTGCGGTCCATGCCCAGGGGGCAGAGGGCACATCCTGGGGGGGGCGGTGCAGACAGTGGGCAGGAGGAGGGCCGCCAGGGAAGGACGGTGACCCCATCGGCCAGGACTCACCAGGCCCCACCAGAGGGCATCAGCATAGGTGTCAAAGTGGTCATTCTCCCCCTTCTCAGCCAAGTACACCAGGAAGGAGGCCAGAATGAGGCACAGGAAACCGATGTACCAGGCAGTCACCAGCTCCTAAAAGAAAGGCTCACGTCACAGCCGCCCGGCCCCAGCAGGCAGCGTCCTGCTCAACCCATCCCTGGCAGCACGGAGGGCCCACCACCCTGGGCAGGCGAGCTGTAGGCTCGGCGTCTGAAGGGCTGTGTCCCCACAGGGCCCCCAAGCCGCCCAGGCCAGCACCTGCTGGGCTGCGTGGCCCTGGGCACGGGGTGGGGAGGGGGCGGGCACCTGGTTTTCTAGTCCCAGCACTGGGTGGTCCCTGGACCTGGGCACCCCCCACGCAGAAGCCCAGCACACCCTGTCCCCCAGGCTTGGAGCACTCCCCCAGCAATCAACAAGCATCCAGGCTGCAGACTTGGGACAACCTCCCTGAGCGTGGAGGAGGCTCCTGGAGGGGGTTGGGGGGCCAGCATCTCAGCACTTTGGGGACCGACACCCGCCCTGTCCACCAACCAAGCCCCCAGCTCAGGGCTCAGACACGGAGGATCGCCAGGCTCCTGTTGGGGCGCAGGGCTGCAGGCCCCTCACACGGCCACCTGGAGCCCAGCCTGCAGGGGCAGGTGTCTGGAGGTACCAACCCCACGCCCCCACCGACCGCAGAGCAGCTGCTCTGGACGGAGCCGGGCGGGACGCGCAGCTTACGGGAAGTCGCCAGGAAAGCAGAGGCGGGGGCTGGTTCCCGTGTGCCCTGACCCGGACCCCATCCAGCAGGGCCTGGGACCCACGCGGCATTGCTCACCTTGCTGTGGGCATAGACCACGGAGCCCAGCAGCTTCCAGGTGCCACCACGCCGGTCCATGCGGATCATGCGCAGGATCTGTAGGAACCGCAGGCTCCGGAGCGCCGACGTGGCGAAGACGTTGCCCTGGGAGCCAGCGGCCAGCACGGCGATGGAGGCAATGAGCACCATGATGTCTGCGGGAGACGGCGGGGCTCAAGGCAGGGCTGGCCCCCTGCACCTCCATTTCTGGCTGCAGGCGAAGGGGCCCCCAGGATGATGGACAGACGGACGGGAGGCACATGCAAAGGGCCAGCAAGGGAACAGCACTACTGTCCACCCTGCCAGCGCTGCCCTGGGCAGCAGCTGTCCCGCCCCCTCTCCCCTCCTGCCGCCACTCAGGCCGTGTTCACCACAGGCGCGGACGCCAAGAGGGCAGGTGGAAGAAACTTCCGGAAGCAGCCAGTCCGCAGTCTCCGCCTGCCTCCGGGCCAGCATGCACACTCGGCTCTCTCACGAGCTGGCAGCCGGCCTGCACCCACTCCGGCCTCACCTATCACACAGAAGGGCTTCCGGGCAAACTTGAGCCGCCCCCGCCAGCCACGGTACCGACAGCAGCAGCCTGCCGCCCAGATCCGCACAAAGTACTCCACACCGAACACCACAATGGTCACGATTTCCTGCAGGAGAGGCCTCACTGAGCCACGTCCCGGCTGGGGCAGGGCATGGACCGAGCCGCTGCGGGTGGAGGCAGGGGGCCCTCGGGGGGGGGCAGTGTTAGTGTGGGGGGGCCGAGCCTGGTGAGCAGGGGTTAGTGGGGGGGGGGGCCGCCCGGGGAACGCAGGTGCACGTGGGTACTCGGCCAAGGAC